GCTAAATATCAGGTCTGGATCTCCATCTTTTTACCACATTACGACAACAAAAGTACTTGAACGCAACACACTGGTAAATACCAGTTCACAAGTGGAAAATACCTATTTTCCATAGCACGTGAACGCAGCATTACTCATGGTAGAGTTAACACACACAAGTGTTTTTAACAATAGTGTACCACTAAATCACATTTCGTAGCAATGACATAATTTCAATTCAGATCATGTTATAAGGCGTGTGAAACTTAATTGTGAAAAGTATTAACAAACCTCTTCAGGAGATGTGACTTCACTTCTTGTCAAGGCTGGAGTGACAGGCTCATGGACAAACTGGAAGACAGAAACAAGGAGAAAGGAGCTATAATGTGACTCAGCAGTAGACTATTGTTTTATAACACTTGTGTGTGTTTAATCATGGTTTATGAGGACATTATTAGGTTTATGAGGACTCATATGACTATTGTATGTGACTTAGCAGTAGACTATTGTTTTACAACACTTGTGTGTGTTTATTCATGGTTTATGAGGACATTATTCGGTTTGAGGACTCAAATGACTATTGTATGTGACTCAGCAGTAGACTATTGTTTTACAACACTTGTGTGTGTTTACTCATGGTTTATGAGGACATTATTCGGTTTATGAGGACTCATTTGACTATTGTATGTGACTCAGCAGTAGACTATTGTTTTACAACACTTGTGTCTGTTTACTCATGGTTTATGAGGACATTATTTGGTTTATGAGGACTCATATGACTATTGTATGTGACTCAGCAGTAGACTATTGTTTTACAACACTTGTGTGTGTTTACTCATGGTTTATGAGGACATTATTCGGTTTATGAGGACTCATTTGACTATTGTATGTGACTCAGCAGTAGACTATTGTTTTATAACACTTGTGTGTGTTTAATCATGGTTTATGAGGACATTATTCGGTTTATGAGGACTCATATGACTATTGTATGTGACTCAGCAGTAGACTATTGTTTTACAACACTTGTGTGTGTTTACTCATGGTTTATGAGGACATTATTCGGTTTATGAGGACTCATTTGACTATTGTATGTGACTCAGCAGTTGACTATTGTTTTACAACACTTGTGTGTGTTTAATCATGGTTTATGAGGACATTATTCGGTTTAATGAGGACTCATTTGACTATTGTATGAGACTCAGCAGTAGACTATTGTTTTATAACACTTGTGTGTGTTTACTCATGGTTTATGAGGACATTATTTGGTTTATGAGGACTCATTTGACTATTGTATGTGACTCAGCAGTAGACTATTGTTTTACAACACTTGTGTGTGTTTAATCATGGTTTATGAGGACATTATTCGGTTTAATGAGGACTCATTTGACTATTGTATGTGACTCAGCAGTAGACTATTGTTTTACAACACTTGTGTGTGTTTATTCATGGTTTATGAGGACATTATTCAGTTTATGAGGACTCATTTGACTATTGTATGTGACTCAGCAGTAGACTATTGTTTTACAACACTTGTGTGTGTTTACTCATGGTTTATGAGGACATTATTCAGTTTATGAGGACTCATTTGACTATTGTATGTGACTCAGCAGTAGACTATTGTTTTATAACACTTGTGTGTGTTTACTCATGGTTTATGAGGACATTATTCAGTTTATGAGGACTCATTTGACTATTGTATGTGACTCAGCAGTAGACTATTGTTTTACAACACTTGTGTGTGTTAACTCATGGTTTATGAGGACATTATTCAGTTTATGAGGACTCATATGACTATTGTATGTGACTCAGCAGTAGACTATTGTTTTACAACACTTGTGTGTGTTTATTCATGGTTTATGAGGACATTATTCAGTTTATGAGGACTCATTTCACTATTGTGTGTGACTCAGCAGTAGACTATTGTTTTACAACACTTGTGTGTGTTTACTCATGGTTTATGAGGACATTATTCGGTTTAATGAGGACTCATATGACTATTGTATGTGACTCAGCAGTAGACTATTGTTTTACAACACTTGTGTGTGTTTATTCATGGTTTATGAGGACATTATTCAGTTTATGAGGACTCATATGACTATTGTATGTGACTCAGCAGTAGACTATTGTTTTACAACACTTGTGTGTGTTTACTCATGGTTTATGAGGACATTATTCAGTTTATGAGGACTCATTTGACTATTGTATGTGACTCAGCAGTAGACTATTGTTTTACAACACTTGTGTGTGTTTACTCATGGTTTATGAGGACATTATTCAGTTTAATGAGGACTCATATGACTATTGTATGTGACTCAGCAGTAGACTATTGTTTTACAACACTTGTGTGTGTTTACTCATGGTTTATGAGGACATTATTCAGTTTATGAGGACTCATTTCACTATTGTATGTGACTCAGCAGTAGACTATTGTTTTACAACACTTGTGTGTGTTTATTCATGGTTTATGAGGACATTATTCAGTTTATGAGGACTCATTTGACTATTGTATGTGACTCAGCAGTAGACTATTGTTTTACAACACTTGTGTGTGTTTATTCATGGTTTATGAGGACATTATTCGGTTTGAGGACTCATATGACTATTGTATGTGACTCAGCAGTAGACTATTGTTTTACAACACTTGTGTGTGTTTATTCATGGTTTATGAGGACATTATTCGGTTTGAGGACTCATATGACTATTGTATGTGACTCAGCAGTAGACTATTGTTTTACAACACTTGTGTGTGTTTATTCATGGTTTATGAGGACATTATTCGGTTTGAGGACTCATATGACTATTGTATGTGACTCAGCAGTAGACTATTGTTTTACAACACTTGTGTGTGTTTATTCATGGTTTATGAGGACATTATTCGGTTTGAGGACTCATTTCACTATTGTATGTGACTTAGCAGTAGACTATTGTTTTACAAGACTTGTGTCTATTTATGCTGCGTTCATGTGCTATGGTAATTATGGTAAATACCAAAAGCCGACGTGGAAAATGCACATGAACACCCCCTCATGTGGTATTTACCACTGGGCAACTCGTAGAATATTTTAATGGACAAGTTGCCGAGATGAAAATAACCTTTGACCATTTTCAAAATGGCGGAGAACACCGCGAGAGTCGTGAATGGTAAAAAAAAATATATACTATTCATGATCTAGAAAATATACAGCATATTATTTACCTTTTGAGTTTTGATAAATCATTTTCTTGCTGTTGCAGATGATTTAAGCAATCTAATATAGTTTTAGCTAAATATCAGGTCTGGATCTCCATCTTTTTACCACATTACGACAACAAAAGTACTTGAACGCAACACACTGGTAAATACCAGTTCACACGTGGAAAATATCCTATTTCCATAGCACGTGAACGCAGCATTACTCATGGTAGAGTTAACACACACAAGTGTTTTTAACAATAGTGTACCACTAAATCACATTTCGTAGCAATGACATTAATTTCAATTCAGATCATGTTATAAGGCGTGTGAAACGTTAATTGTGAAAAGTATTAACAAACCTCTTCAGGAGATGTGACTTCACTTCTTGTCAAGGCTGGAGTGACAGGCTCATGGACAAACTGGAAGACAGAAACAAGGAGAAAGGAGCTATAATGTGACTCAGCAGTAGACTATTGTTTTACAAAACACTTGTGTGTGTTTACTCATGGTTTATGAGGACATTATTCGGTTTATGAGGACNACTCAAATATCATAGATTATGTCAATCAAGTAAACAGGAGGGCAGTTTCATTCATTCATTCATTCATTCATCCATTCATCCATCCATCCATGTATCCATGCATCCATCCATATATATATATATATCCATCCATATATCCATCCATTTATTCATTCATCCATCCATATATCCATACATCCATACATCCATATATCCATCCATCCATATATCCATCCATCTATCCATTCATATATCCATCCATCCATCCATCCATCCATCCATCCATATGTCCATCCATACGTATATCCATCCATCCATCCATCCATCCATATATTCATCCATTTATTCATTCATCCATATATCCATCCATACATCCATCCATATATCCATATATCCATTCATCTATCGATATATCCATCCATCCATCCATATATCCATCCATCCATCCATCCATCCATGCATCCATCCATCCATATATCCATCGATGCATCCATCCATCCATCCATATGTCCATCCATACGTATATCCATCCATCCATCCATATATCCATCCATCCATCCATCCATCCATATATTCATCCATCCATATATCCATAGATCCATACATCCATCCATACATATATCCCTCCCTCCATCCATCTATCCATCCATCCATATATCCATCCATCCATCCATCCATATGTCCATCCATACGTATATCCATCCATCCATCCATCCATATATTCATCCATTTATTCATTCATCCATATATCCATCCATCCATCCATCCATATATCCATATATCCATTCATCTATCGATATATCCATCCATCCATCCATCCATCCATGCATCCATCCATCCATCCATCCATCCATATATCCATCGATGCATCCATCAATCCATCCATCCATCCATCCATATGTCCATCCATACGTATATCCATCCATCCATCCATCCATCCATATATTCATCCATCCATATATCCATACATCCATCCATCCATACATACATATATCCCTCCATCCATCCATCCATCCATCCATCCATCCATCCATCCATATGTCCATCCATCCATATATTCATCCATTTATCCATCCATCCATCCATCCATGCATCCATCCATCCATCCATCCATCCATGTTTTTATCAGATCATGCATTCACCGGGAATCGAACCCGTGATCTTGATGTTGCTGGCTTCAAATTCATGGATATATTGTCACAATGCCAAAATCACAACCGATACCTAAAACATGCTTTATCTGCGATATAACTTTTTTTCTTGTTCTAGTCGAAATTTTACCCAAGTGTGCTTAAGAACAGTCTTTTTAAACTCAAAGTCGCATTACGCTTTCACGTCTTTTTAAAAATGAAAGTCTCTCACCCCATTGATGACGTATCCTACATCGGCCCAGAGGATGATGGGTAGTATGCGCTCGTTCTGGGAGAAGTGCAGGCGAGCGGGCATCTCCTCTTTCTTATACACGTGGAGATGCGGATGAGCGCCTTTCAGTGCGTTGTACACTTTCTCGAGTCTCCCTTCTTTGGGAAGCAGAAGTCCCACCGGTCCGAAGTCCACAATATGGAAGGACAGATCCCCGAAAGAGAAGCCGGGGATCTTGGAGAGCACGATCTCCTCCACCAGGCCGTTCCTGTAGACGGTGCTCATGCCATGATCGGCCGTAATGATGATGTTGAGGCTCTCGCTCAGGCCGTGTCTCTCCGCCGAGCTCCTCAGGTATCCCACAGTCCGGTCCACCTGCCGGACCATCGCCCTGCGCTCGGGAGAATCCGGCCCGTACCTGTGTCCCGTGGCGTCGGGCTCTCCGAAGTACATGGACACAAAGTCCAGGTCCTGCCCTCTGAACCAGGACTCCATCACTTTATCTATGTTTTCTCGCCAGGCCGTTTCGTTGCTGTAGTTGTAGTTTGCCGGCTCCACTTCTCTCACTACAGCACTTTCTCCCTGATAAGTGGATGCTGTTCCGGGAAAGTGGAGGGAACCGGCTTTCAGACCCTTTATTTGGGAGGGCGGGAAAATCAATTATATTTCACCAATGCAAAGCAGAAAAGCTTTATTTACTCTCATGTCGAATTTTAATTCTTGTGTACGTGTAACGGAGGCCAGCTAGTAGTTGCTGTGTGAGTAAACCTCACTCCCCTGATCTCAGTAGGCGCTCTAGCGACAGATGCTAGAGGCTGCTGTCTTTAGCCTCCTTGTTAGAGTGCCTGACTCTCATGCCGGAGACCCGAGTTCAAGGCCCGCTCGGAGCAGGTCGAGTTGGACCCGGGTGGAGGGGTTACATACGACCAGTGTTGTAGTCGAGACCACCTCACTCGAGTCCGAGTCGACACCGAGACCAGAGAGAGTCGAGTCCGAGTCAAGACCGAGTCCATAGAGAGTCGAGTCCGAGTCGAGTCCGAGACCAGAGATGGTCGAGTCCGAGTCAAGACCGAGACCAGTGAGGGTTGATTACCTAATTTACTTTTATTTACTTAGAGAAATCCTTTTTTTTTTTACTGAATTTACTTAGAGTTTAAAAAATATGATCAGTTTAGGGTAAAAAGGCCACATAGTAGGTGGTGTTAAAAGTAATTTTATTACAATTTGTCATGCGCAGTTGCGCACTAGAAAATCACCAATCACTGGGCGTGTCAATCAATTTAAAGAAATATTTTATTAACATACATTAATAATCATGAAAAAGATTTTTAATTGAACTCAAATGGACTCGGAAATAATTCAGAGTCCTAAAAAAAAATGTTCAAGTACGAGTCAATTCCGAGTCCAAATGGACACGAGTCCATGACAAGACCAAGACCATTAAAATATGGTCTCGAGACCGAGTCCGAGACGAGTCCAAGTCTCGAGTACTACAACACTTCATACGTCTACACAAAACTGCTGTATAAAATAATCGTGATTTTAATGGTAAAAGACCGCAAAACTGTTAATTGGTTAACAGAAAGTTTCCGTACTGTATATACGGTAAATAACTATGATAGATCTCTTGGTACATTTAATGTAAAAAAACATTCAATTTACAGTTTTTGAAAGTGAAAAAGAACAACTCATTGTATAATTTACAGTGAAATACCGTAAATTGACATTCCCTCAATTCCCTGCGTGACACTTCATACTACAATAGGTTGATAAATTAACATTATATTAGATATTGAAATATGGTTTATTGCTGTAAATTTTAAGTTAAGTCTGTAAAACTATTAACGTTGCTACCGTATTTTTGACGGTAATGTTCTGGCAACCACTGCTACCGTTTTTTTTTTTTTTTACCGTAAAAATTACCGTTTTATTTTTTACAGTTATTTTTTTTCATACAGTAAAAGCAGAAGCTCTAAAAACCTCATTCATGCATCCTTGACAAGTCACTTGTATCTTTCTAATGGTTATTGGTCATTGTTTGGAGCTCGACAGACCTTGGTCACTATACCCAGGTGAAAAAGACGTTGTATTAAATGTATTAAAAATATATTTGAAATACAAATAGTGTGTTTATAATACATTTGTATTTACAACATGCTTATTTAAAGTGTACTAAAAATGTATTTTATTGCATTTTAGTATATTTCTAAAAAGTATACTAGAAGTACATTGGTAATAAATATATATTTAATTACACTTTTAAGAAATATACTATAGAAAAGCATACTTTTAATGTATTTATAAAAAGTATATTAGTAATATATTGGTAATAAATGTATGCTTTATTATATTTTTAATAAATATGCTAATGATAATTATACTTTAAATGTATTTCTAAAAAGTATATTAGAAGTACATTGGTAATAAATATATGTTTAAATACACTTTTAAGAAATACACTATAGAAAAGCATACTTTTAATGTATTTCTAAAAAAGTATATTATTAGTACATTGGTAATAAATGTGTGCTTAATTATATTTTTAATAAATATGCTAATGACAATCATGCTTTAAATATGTTTCTAAAAAGTGTACTAGAAGTACATTGGTATTTAATTACATTTTTAAGAAATATGCTAAATACAAACATATTTTAATTATATTTAAAAATGTTTACTAGAAACGCAATGATAATAAATATACACTTAATTACACTTTTAGAAATATGCTAAAAACAAACACAGTTTTAGTGAAGTTTTAGTGTATTTACAGAAAGCATACTTGTTGCTAAATTAAAGTATTTTTGTGTTCACTTCAAGTTTAAAAATTCAAGTCAAGTCCCTTTAATTCCCTTCCTAACATGAAGGCAATTAAACATGTATCGAAATTAATTGTATATTTCTACAAAGACTAGAAGTAGCACTTTAATTATAAATATGTGCTCAGTTAAGCTTTTAAGAAATATACCAAAAACTACCACACTTTTTGTAATACTACCAACACTTAACTCAATGCATATGTATTTCACACTTTATATTATGTGTTTTAGGTTTAACTTTTTTAAATTAATTTGTTATAATTATGAAAAGCACTAAAATTTGACTAACAAGTAATGCACTTCTATACTTCTGCATTAATTAATCAAATAGTCTTTTCCACAAAACAAGTGAATACCAGTACGTGCACACATCAACATAAAAGATCAGGTGTACATACTAGAAAAACAAAATAAATTTCTTAAAGCTTGACTCTTACATTTGTTTAGTCAAAATGAATAAAAAAACTTGTTATAAAGCATGTTAGGTTTATATTAACAGAGTTGTTTCTTTTTTGTGGATGTTAGTTAATATTTCCAGTTGCATTCATTTGGACCAATCAGAGCCAATCTTTTCAAAACAAGCTTGCCGGCAATCGTCCAATCACACACTGCCATTTGAACTTACATGTTGGGCGGGGCGCGGACAACGGATACTGACTGTCTGTGGTATTCCATTAGCTTCGGACGGATATCTCAACAGAAATCATGTATTTTCCAAATTTTGCTTTGTTATTTCACTGACTCGGACCTAGTGAATGTGGATAGCACCGATCTAATATTAAGAGAACACACGAGCAGATTACCAGGTCGTCAGCTCCCGCGAACAATTTAGCAGTGAAGAGGACAACGCAGAGCTGCGCCGCCACGACATGGACAGAGCAAGATACTGCCAGAAAAGATCTTACTTCTTGGTGGTAAGTTTATTAGTTTAAGTGATTAGTGTAATTGGCTTTATTCTCACTTTGGGTTTAGAAAATATTTTCAGAAGTTGATGACGATGTTCTGTGGATTACTGGCGTTTCTGTTGATTTGACACTAAAGCGAGTTAACGTCTATCCATTGACGTCTATCAACTTAATTGTTATAGATCTAGACAGTGACATAATGCAACTATAAAAACATTGCACACTGTGTTTTCAGAAAAAAGGTTATTAATGGTGATTACACGACAGGCTTGATTGTCCCTAAGTAACTTCTTGTGTTTTAAATATTATAATATATTTTAAGCTCTAATAAAACTTACACATTTGTGATATTTAATTCATAGTAAAATCTAATTAATTATTAGTTACTAAGTTATCAGCTGTCACCAACTTGTAACTTTCAATAGAATGTTCTGTCTTTATTAATAATGAATAATTACTTCAATAATAGCGTGGAAGTTACAGTAATGGTTCATTAAATATGTTTTACCATTTAAACAAAATACAAATTATATATGAAGAACACAAACTAGTGTTTGTTCTGCCCTAACTTTGTATAACATGCAACTTTATTTTTTTTTTGTAGAGCTTCCAGGGATACTATCATCTCTCAAAGAGGCCCTGGAGTCCATGAAACGAGGTTCATTCAGCTCAAGCCCAAGATCATCTGAGCTGTCTTCCTGAAACCTCAGACATGGTAAGAAAATTCTTTATGATAAAGAAAAATCCTATTTGTTATAATAATTATATCTGACTTTTGTGCATTAATACTTCAGTAAGTGTTCTGAATTAAGTAACAAAGTGACAGCTTTTTATTAGAATTATAAATGAACAAGTTTATACTAATGCTTGTTTTTTTTATTCTTTCCAGATTTCCCTCGGTGGTTCTGATGTCCCCAAAAGAGTCTATGGCAGACTGAACAAGTCACGAACTTCTCTTTTTACTCACGACTTGGCCACTTTACTTTTTGCTATTGTATTTCACTTTGTTTGACTTAAAGGATTAGTTCACTTAAAAAAAAAAAAACTTTTGCTGATAACTTACCCACCCCCATGCCAAGATATCCATGTCATTCTTTCTTCAGTTGAAAAGAAATTAAGGTTTTTGATGAAAACATTTCAGGATTTTCTCCATATGGACTTCATTGGGAACCAAACGGTTCAAGGTCCAAAAGGCAGTTTCTGTGCAAACTGTTCAAAGGGCTTTAAACGATTCCAGACGATGAATAAGGGTCTTATCAAGCGAAACGATCGGTCATTTAAAAAAAAAAAAAAAAAAAAACGTTTAAGTTTTATAAGCTCAAATGGTCGCCATGCTCTGTTCTGTTATGCATGTTCATAACTCTCCTATTCAAACTCGTTCATCAAAATTAACAAATCTTTTTCTGAGTCATTAGGTTCATTCAACGAACGAAATGAATGAATTGACTTGAAAAAAGATTTGTCAGGGCTGCCAACTCTCAAGCATTCAGCACGAGACTCTCGCAATTGAGCAATTCTCATGCTTTCACGACAAATTGACTGTTAGCCATTGGACCTTGAACCGTTTTGTTCCCAGTGAAGTCCATTATATGGAGAAAAATCCTGGAATGTTTTCATCAAACCTTAATTCCTTTTCGACTGAAGAAAGAAAGACATGGACATCTTGGAAGACATGGGGGTGAGTAAATTATCAGCAAAAGTTTTTTTTTAAAAGTGAACTACTCCTTTCAGTTAGTTTATTTATTTATTTATTTATTTATTGTTCTGTTTAATACCTCTGCAAATCAATGCATTTTATGTTAATGTATTTTGTTTAGTTTTCATAATGCTTTACTGATGTAGTGCATTAAAGTTTATCTTTCAAAGAGTGTTTGTGTGTTTTGTAGAAATATTTTTTTACTGGGTTTTGTTGAATTAAAATGTTTAACTGTATTTTTAATACATTAAAATATATTATTTTTATATTAAATGGTTTTTGGAAAAAATATATTTTTAATATGTTAATAGTGGGTCCTATATTGTTCTACAAATACATTATTAATAAGCTGAAATTATATTTAAAATATACTTAGAACGCATTAATGTGAAGCTAAAATATACTAATGCTGTATTTCTAAAATCGATTTAAAGTGTATTAAAATACACTTTAAATAAGTGCTATTATATTACATTAAATGTACTTAAAATGGTTCCATTTTAGCACAATTTAATATAATAAAATATATTACTATTACCTTAAAATTGAACTTAAATACATATTAAAGTACACTTAATATACTTGAAGTTGTTTCAATTTAGCACATTTAATACATATTTAATACGGTGCACTTAAAATACATTAAGTATATCAAAATAAGTACATTTTAAATACATTTCCTTTTCACCTGGGTATGCATGCATTGCATGGACAAGACAAGATCTGAGATGCTTTAAAACTCAATTTTTTGTTACACAAAAAAGAAAAATTTATTGGTTTAGCAGGACATTAGAGGTAGTGAATGATGATAGAAATGTTGCATCACCCTTTCTAAGGGTTTGAATAGTTTGTATTTTAACCAACTTTTTTTTTACTTGTAATATTATCTATTACTGTGAGCAAATCATCATCTGAGATTTCGAGTTTCTGAGCTGGAAATAATTGTTTTGACTCATTTTCTGGAATTAATTTGGTCGAATCTCCTGTGTGTCTGGCTTTATATGTACAGGTTAGTGGAGAAAATGAAATGATGTGTTCGGGATGATTCAAAGTGAAGTGTTGCGGATCATTAGCTGACGGGCTGCTTGTGGGAAATACGTGTCTTGCAGGAGAGCGAGTCAATTTGAAATGGTCCTCTCTAACCAACCCCAGAAAAACAGCACAATATTTATTCAGAATCCGGTCGAAATCAGTTTAATTCATTCTAAAGTCAAGAAGTATTAACAAGTACCATTTGACTACATTTAACATGTGTAGTATACATTTAAGACTTCTATATTATATTATATTATATTATATTATATTATATTATATTATATTATATTATATTTATATATATATTATATTAAAATATATTTTACTATATTAAATTATATTAAAATATATTTTACTATATTAAATTATATTATATTATATTATATTATATTATATTATATTATATTATATTATATTATATTAAATATATTTTACTATATTAAATTATATTAAAATATATTTTACTATATTAAATTATATTAAAATATATTTTACTATATTAAATTATATTAAATTATATTAAAATATATTTTACTATATTAAATTATATTATATTATATTATATTATATTATATTATATTATATTATATTAAAATATATTTTACTATATTAAATTATATTAAAATATATTTTACTATATTAAATTATATTAAAATATATTTTACTATATTAAATTATATTATATTATATTATATTAAAATATATTTTACTATATTAAATTATATTATATTATATTATATTAAAATATATTTTACTATATTAAATTATATTATATTATATTAAAATATATTTTACTATATTAAATTATATTATATTATATTAAAATATATTTTACTATATTAAATTATATTATATTATATTAAATATATTTTACTATATTAAATTATATTAAAATATATTTTACTATATTAAATTATATTAAAATATATTTTACTATATTAAATTATATTATATTATATTAAAATATATTTTACTATATTAAATTATATTATATTATATTAAAATATATTTTACTATATTAAATTATATTATATTATCTAAAATTACAGACATATAATAAATATGACAGACTGTTAAGACAAAGGCTATGTTCAGCATGCAGTACATGCACACTGCTTAGTACACATTGTTTAACCCTAACCAGTGTGGCGACTTTGGTCGGTGTGCGAGTACCTGTCTCTGAGCCGTGATCCATATGGGCACACTTCCACTGTCCCACCACTCGTTCACAAACTGGGACTTGTAGTAGGACTTCTTCTCCCAGGTGCTGGTGTTAAACCACATGTTGTGAATTACACCGTGATTCTCGATATATTTCCCTGCAGAAAGATACTTTCTCATCAATCATACTTAGACACGTTACAAGAAGATATAGTGTGTAGGATTTACTTTCAAATAATTGCCACTCTTAAAAAAACATCTGTTTTATATGTAAAAAGTGTATATTCATATATAATTATAGTGTGTATAATTATAGTATGTATATATATATATATACATACTAAATGTATACATATTTATGGATATAAGTATTCATTATTGCCTCGTTTCATCTGGACGGATGGATGGACATAAATATTAAATGCATATATAGTGATAATTAATTTAGAAGAATTAATTTAATGATTAGAATTATATATATATATATATATATATATATAAACTGACAGTATATATACTTAGCGCTGTTGATTAAAAAAAATAACGAATTAATCAAACATTTTTCTGTAATTGATCACGATTAATTGCATCCAACATTATAGTTTTTATACTATATTTTATATTGTAATAATTTCACAGTAAATCTCCAAATTAATGTAGAAACAACATAAGATAGTTATTTTAAACATTTGATATAACAATGTACGATATATACAGACATTGAATAACAAATATCAAAATTGAATATTCAATATCAAAGTTATGAAACACTTCACAGACTAGAATGCTCAATTTATAAAAATTTTAAACAAAAATATAGATTAATGCAATTACTTAAATGAGCTTGTTGTTTCTGCCCTAATCTGGGCATTGCTTAATATGTGTTGTATTGTACCTGTGAGGATGGTGAAGTGTGTCGGGCTGGTGATAGTGAGGAACGAAGGGGTCACGTATGTGGCTTTGACCCCATCCTTCGCCATGGCGTCCAGGTGCGGAGTGTCCACGTCCCTGTCGTAGTCCCACCTGAAGCCATCGAAGGAGACCAGCAGCAGTTTTCTGTGCTCTCGGTGCGCTGGAACGGGGACCGCCAGAGACTGAACACACAGACACAGACAGAGAACCGGCGTCCACAGCATGATCAGAGCCGGTTGTGTTCAGGTGTTCACCGTCTCTGTGACACAATCAGACTGCGTTCGGTTCTCCGGCTCGACCTCGTTTACTCACTCTCGCTGCACGTCTATGCCGGCCAAAGTTTCATCTGGTTATCTTATCTCTTTTGATTTGCCGGTTTGCAGTTTTTTGCTATATTTTTACATATTTGAAAACATATTTTCAAAAATCTTATCAACCACAAACCTTTGATTGGTAGTGCATGTCATTTGCTTAAATGCTGCAGGATCATTTCCTGTCACTACTTTGCTTTTTTTTCTAAATCATTGTTTTTTAGTCGGCTGGTGTATTGGTGATGTATAGAGCTCTCCTCAAGTTCACACAGGTGTCCTATGAACTTAATGAAATGTGTTATCATTGCACTTATCAATGCATGACCAGAGAGCAGATCTTACTGTAATTCTCTAATTTCACTATCGTTACTCTCCTTGTTAATAAGTTATCAACGTCCTTCTGAAAGAGCTTTTTCTCTTGCCTTTGTCCTTGACAGTTGTTCAGGGGAAATATCTAATCTGTGTGAAGATAAAATATTACCTCTGCATACTTACAAACTGCTAAATTATTAGTTAATGAAGACAGGTGTCATTTAAATGTTTGTGTCTATACGTGTTCTAATATGATTCTTTATTTGAGTCTGATTTGTTTAAATAATAATGTATTTTCTCATTATTATTTGTATTGTGTATTATTGAATTTGAAGCTTAACCTTTTCACCTTTAAGATTTCCGCTCTCATCCTGACGCCGTCACTATGACGACCCCTCACTTCTGTCAGCCTCACCATGACGACCACTCACTCCTGACAGCATCACCATGACGACCGCTCACTCCTGACAGCATTACCATGACGACCACTCACTCCTAAAAGCATCACCAAGACGACCGCTCACTCCTGATAGTGTCACCATGACGACCCCTCACTCCTGACAGTGTCACTTGATGACCGCTCACTCCTGACAGCGTCACCATGACGACCGCTCACTCCTGACAGCATTGCCATGACGACCGCTCACTCCTAAAAGCATCACCAAGACGACCCCTCACTCCTGACAGTGTCACCATGATGACCGCTCACTCCTGACAGCGTCACCATGACGACCACTCACTCCTGACAGCATCACCATGACGACCGCTCACTCCTGACAGCATTACCATGACGACCGCTCACTCCTAAAAGCATCACCAAGACGACCGCTCACTCCTGATAGTGTCACCATGACGACCCCTCACTCTTGATAGTGTCACCATGACGACCCCTCACTCCTGACAGTGTCACCATGATGACCGCTCACTCCTGACAGCGTCACCATGACGACCGCTCACTCCTGACAGCATTGCCATGACGACCGCTCACTCCTAAAAGCATCACCAAGACGACCGCTCACTCCTGACAGTGTCACCATGACGACCCCTCACTCTTGATAGTGTCACCATGACGACCCCTCACTCCTGACAGCGTCATCATGATAACCCCTCACGCCTGACAGCATCACCATGACGACCGCTCACTCCTAAAAGCATCACCAAGACGACCACTCACTCCTGACAGTGTCACCATGACGACCCCTCACTCTTGATAGTGTCACCATGACGACCCCTCACTCCTGACAGCGTCATCATGATAACCCCTCACGCCTGACAGCATCACCAAGATGACCCCTCACTATTGACAGTGTCACTATGACTATCCCTCGCTCCTGAGAGCATTACCATGACGACTCCTCACTCCTGACAGTGTCACCATGACGACCCCTCACTCCTGACAGTGTCACCATGACGACCCCTCACTCCTGATAGTGACACCATGATAACCCCTCACGCCTGACAGCATCACCAAGATGACCCCTCACTATTGACAGCGTCACCATGACGACCACTCACTCCTGACAGTGTCACCATGACGACCCCTCACTCTTGATAGTGTCACATGATGACCCCTCACTCCTGGCAGCGTCACCATGATAACTCCTCACTCCTGACAGCATCACCATGACGACCCCTCACTCTTGATAGTGTCACCATGATAACCCCTCACGCCTGACAGCATCACCGAGATGACCCTTCACTATTGACAGCGTCACCATGACGACCCCTCACTCCTGACAGCATCACCAAGATGACCCCTCACTATTGACAGCGTCACCATGACGACCCCTCACTCCTTACAACGTCTCACAGGTGTCGCTCATCGGTAATCACGCCACCGGCCTCGCGCCGTTCTCCCGCGGCCCTCACTCGTTCAGCTCTCCACAGTAAACATGATGAATGCCGACTGTAGAACGCAAAAGCCGAATCTCTGACATTTTGGGCGATCTGGAAACACATTTTCGGGCAGACTCGTCACGGTGACTCACTAGTAGCCTAGACTTGTTGTTTAACGACTGCACTCTGTTACCAGTAGGCGTGGCCTCCTAGGGCAGCGAAGCGAATGCATTCTGGGAGTTGTTGTCCTTCATCCACATAAGCCAAAAATACATTTTCTGGCATTTCTCAGTCTAGAAACTTCCAAATTCAAAAATAATTTCACATTTCTTCTACATAAATGACCACCAGTGTTGTGCAAGTTACTTCCAAACTGTAATACATTAGGTATTACTTGTTACTGTTATTTAAAAGTAATTCATTACCTTACAATATTACTGTCTCAGAATTGTAATGCGTTACATTACTCACGTATTACTTTTGAGTTACTTTCACCAAAATAACTAAGTAGAACTGAACTTTTGGGCTGTAACGATATGCAATATGAAACCGAAATCGCGATTCGCCACATCCACGAACCTACAGAATCGCGACACACCTCTTCCAACTCCAGCGTTATTCTCCTTACCGTCCATCTCCAATGCTACCTTATCTTTAAATTAGGCTGTTAGTATTATTTGAAGTTAACATTATAAAATACGTAGACCTACACCACAAAACTAGTTGAGGATAAATTATTTAAAATTGGGGAAGTCCAGCATTATGGACATTACATTTGCAGTCAAAACGTGAAATAAAAATTCTCAGAAAATTCATGTATTGAAACGTATATAGGCTACTTCCTTAAAGGGTTAGTTCACCCAAAAATGAAAATTCTGTCAGTATTTACTCACCCTCATGTTGTTCCAACCCCGTAAGACCTTCGTTCATCTTCGGAACACAAATTAAGATATTTAGGATATTAAAATCGCTCCTGCATACTAGTCCATAGGCTTCTTGAGGGACTGGCTCTTGCTGTCCTCGAAAAGTAATTGAAGACATCGTTAAAATAGTCCAAGTGACTACAGGGGCTCAATCTTAAGTTTATCAAACGACGAGAACACTTTTGTGCGCAAAAAAACAACAAAAATAACGACTTTATTTCAACTATTCACTTCCTTCTCCATAAGCCTATAGTCCGTTAACGTAGTGTGATTGCGTAGAGCTACGTCACACGTAGGCTCACTATTGGTCGACGCTGGTCATGTGTGTGTGATGCGTGTGACGTACAATAACAGAAGCTTACGCTATTAAACTAGTAACTTGACTCGCGCAGAGGGAGAAATAAACGAATAGTTGAAATAAAGTCGTTATTTTTGTTGTTTTTTTGCGCACAAAAGTGTTCTCGTCGTTTGATAAACTTAAGATTGAGCCCCTGTAGTCACTTGGACTATTTTAACGATGTCTTTTATGACTTTTCGGGGACGGCAAGAGCCAGTCCCTCAAGAAGCCTATGGACTGTATGCAGGAGCGATTTTAATATCTTAAATATCTTAATTCGTTTTCCGAAGATGAACGAAGGTCTTACGGGGTTGGAACAACATGAGGGTGAGTAAATACTGACAGAATTTTCATTTTTGGGTGAACTAACCCTTTAAAGGACTCCAGACATTAGACAAATATCAGTCTATGTTTTATTTTTAATATTAGGGAAAAGACACACATTCATGCGTGACAAAAAAATAGGAGGTAAAATATATTTTTTGTAATTCTGTTAATTACACTGCGCAAATTGGATGAGGAAGGATTGGCTCTCCAGTCTCCATAGAACTTAAAATATTCATTTTATTTTAGTTTTCGTGTTCGCATTTATGAGGGGAAAAACAATGTTACAGACGCGACCGCTCTGAACTGGCACTAAAAGACTGCTTTAAAACTTTCACACAGTCTGTTGCCTTTAAGAAGTAAAAGCAGACAATACACTGTAATACAACTGTAATACAAGCCTCACTGAACATGTAACGAGTAAAATATTACTGAAAATTGATTAGTAATGCCTTACACTACTGCGTTACAGCAAAAAGTAATATGTTACTGTAATGTATTACTTTTGTAATGCGTTACTCCCAACACTGATGACCACACATTCATCTTTCTAGAGGTGAAGTATCCCTTTAAGGACCCCTCACTATTGACCCCATCCCCTTGGCCACCTTTTACCTCAGCTCTCACTTTTTGACTCCATCACCATAACGACACGTTACTCCTGACAACATCACCATGACGACCTGATACAGAAGTGTTCTGATTTTCCTCACCTTCACCAGGACGACACTTCACATATTTTTAAAGTTTAACATTCACAAAATGAACAGCCATTTGAAAATGTATGCGTTTAAATCAACTTAACTTGCTTAAAAAAGTGTTTTGAAACATGACAGACGCATCCACGAGCAGGAGAAGTCGCTCATAGCTGCGAGCACTGATTTTAGGCTGTGTGTGTTTTTGGTTCCCATATCAATCTCAACCAGCTGAATAATACAAGGATAGATATGAATCTGTTTTAATTCTTTCAAATAAATCCTATAAAATTGCATGAATTATCCTTAAACTGACCAAGGTGGAGAAGGTTACATTATAAAAACATACTTTTTAGCATCAGACAATACATTTTGATGTTAAACCCACTATTGTTTATGTCTGATCTCATGACATTTCACACTTTTTCCATACATATTTTACAATAATTCATACGAATTTGTACGAGTGCAGTCGTAAATTTTATACACCTCATAAAATGCATACGAATCGCTGTGAGATCGGATTGATACACAAAGTTTACCTTAATTACATCAGAAGTAACTGTAATTAAATTACAGAT